ATCTTTGAAGTTATTAAAATGGGAAATATTTTAGGCAAGACAGATTTTATAGCTGCTGAAAGAATGAGATTATATCGACAGTGAAAAAGTAAAAAAATACAATCAGTCAATGAATGTATGTTAATTTTAATTACGTGAAGTTCTTCAAATACAATTATTACATGATTAGTGAAATTGTGAAAACAATATTTCTTTAGGCGTTGTTTTACATAATCCACTGTGTGAACGAATATTATAGAATTTATTAATCAGCAATTACTTCATTTCTCTAATGGAAAGTCCAAGTCCTAAATGCTATTACAATGACAAACCTATCATTTCATATTTGAAATATGACTTTAATTACATTATTGATTGAAAATTAATTATTTATTGTTTTTTATTTCAACAATTTGCTTTGCAAAAGTGCTGTTTGTTCCTATTTTCAAATTATATATATATATATATATATATATATATATATGTCTATATATAATTCTATTGAAGGTATCAAGATATTTATAATTTTTCATTAAATTTCAGAATGTGCAAGCAGATACGATTTGTATCAAGAACATCATACAATGAAGTTTCTATAATCCTGAAGTAGCACAATCTTTCATTGAAGAAAACTTAGTACTTGCATTTAAAAATCAGTTCCAAATTTGGTTTATTGATATTATATTGGAATTACGCAGTTCTAGGTAAATGTTGATCGAACAATTAAAATGTATGATCAATTGACATCTTCACATATATGTATGGTATGTATATATAAATAAATGATCAAAAACAACATAATATGTAATAAATGTTTATTAGTAGTAATTGCATAACATTTTACAATGTTTATTCACAAATTTGCGATATCTAATTCAATAGATTGTCCAGTAATAACAGTTTTGTTCAATTTATTTAGACTATTTCCATTACTTTTGCCCAATTTTTGTAGTTCTTCTAGTATTATCAGATGTAGTAACACATTTGTTAAATTATGTCTCTTCCAACGTTGATTTGTGAGTTTTACTCAAACCTTTCAAACCTACATTTAATTTTGTAAGAGCCGCATTCATTTGTTTATACTTTCCAGAGATATCTGGGAAATATCATCTAATATTACTTTCCTTGTTGGTAAAGAATTGGCTGAAAATTGTAATGTAGTCCTAAGTTCTTCTAAGTTTGTGCTTTGATTTATTCCATGTTCATTATCTAATGCTTGTTGTAATATTTTTTCCTCTCGTTTCAACAGTGAAGACTGTTTACACAGAAAATTAATTTCTTTAATATCTTGGTTTGTTTCATCCAAAAGTTTTCTACTTTGGTCAAGTCGCTGATTCATTATTTGTATTTCATTTTCGATACATATTGTTTTATCTGCTATATTTCGCTCAATAACTGTATCAAGAAGCATGGAACCCAGATACCTACTATATACAAATTCGTCTTCATTGCCTGATTTATTTGAGTTCATTAGTGAAATATTTGATATATCACCAAATGATGATGTAAATGCATTTTTGTCATCTGTGGGTGTTGAGGCTTCTATAATTAAAATTAAGGAGTTAATTTAAGATCTTCGTGTATTGATTATTGTGCCATATTACTGTTGGACTGTACATCATGACATGATTCAGTTAAAATTCATTATGTATAAATTTATTAATATTCTGATTTTTTATGAAGCAGTCCAGCAGTTGAAAGACACACATTATCCCAATATTTACCTCGTTTTTTCTTGTTTACTGGTGTTCTTGAATTACTGGCACTGGTATTAATTTTTGAGAACGAATCTTTTGATATTTTGCTTTTGTGCTTATCACTTTTTTGGGAACTATGGTTTTTACTTTACTTTGGGACATGTTGATTTTTTAAATATAAAGTAACAAAACTGATTGAATCCAAACAAAAAATATATAGACTGTTAAAAATAATCTGATACTACAAATAAAAGGCGTTAAAAAAGTGTGCGGTTTTTGAACGTTGAAACGTCAAAAATATCCTTGTTGACTGGATAACATTTTTCCAATCTGGCAACACTTTACAGAAATGGGCATATTCATACTTATTTCACAATTTATTTACATTCATAATTTCTTCTCATTTACTCCACAACTTTATTAATAGGCAGACATAAAATAAGAATTTTGAAATTTATATTATATGTTCACACAAAAAGTTCAGTCCAAAACTAAACTTCACCACCATTAAAACTTAGCAGCTGATTTATTTCTATTTTATAAACAACATACCTGAACTAGAGTACCAGCTGCCGGCATGTGAAGCTTTTCGGTCTGACATCGTTCTCAGAGAAATCTTAATCTTTTTTTAAGCCCTCGCTTTAATTTAACTATATCAATTTTAATAAAAACCTGATGAAGCTAAGATTATAAGTTACTTACAAGTAAGCAGTACCACATAACATTTATTTCTTTTCCTTTCTTTGGGGTTTAATGGTCTGAAGTTGGTATACGTTTGTATACAAAACAAAGTGTCAAATAAAAACATTAAAATGGAGCAGGTATAAATACGATTAATCTCAGAAAAATGTAAACACAAGAAAAGATTGCTGGGACATTGCGATGTAAATTATTTATACCAATCATTATTTTCTTACATTCAGAAAAATTGTTTATATAAATATATATCTGGTGTTGTCAACCAAATCCAAAATGTGCTCCCTGTATATTGTTGTGTATTTATTTAACATTTTTTCAATTGTAAATATTTATTTTAGGTTTTTCAAAATGTGATGACAAATATGATATATATATATTTTATACCATATTTATATCCATATTTATATGGTGAACATACATAAAAGAAGAGTATGGTGAATTTTATAAATTTTGCATGAAGTCAACCTTTATAAACATTAAATATATTTAAAAATGTCATGCAACTACGCTGAGGGTCTATCAGATTATGATGACAAAGGTGTACTAGGCTACCAGAGGTATACTTTAAAAATGTAATTAAAAAATCACTTGGATTTACATTGTATTTTGCATTACAGATATTTGATAATACTGAAGACTTAAATAAAAAAGTTGATACGTTGGTTTCATGGATCTCTCAAGCAAAATGTGTTGTGGTACATACTGGAGCAGGAATAAGCACAGCTGCTGGTGTTCCTGATTTTAGGTAACTATGATTAAAATCAATTTAGTTACATTTTACATGAGTGTTGAGGCTGTATGTCGGCATCAAATATAATATTTTGAGTGTCGTCTAATTTCTTTTCAATCCTGAAAGTCTTCTTTGTATATCACTTTAAAAGCGTGGCTTTTTGATATGGAAGATAACTTTATTTTACTAAAAAAAGAATTTACTTAAATTTCTGAAAATGATTAAAATGATAATATTAAGCAGTAGGATAAGAGAAATTAGGAATATTCCAAAATTGATTTAGCAAAATTATGTGTATTGGAAATACGGTTTGTTAATTCAGATTTTCAAAAAGCATTTGCAATGTAATTGCATTATTATTATGAGAAATGAAACATTAGAATTCTTGTACTTATTTTTGATAGAGCAACTTCACCATAATGTTACCTAATATATTAATTATCAAATAATAAGATTTTCAATAAACAAATCTTTTAATTTTTATCTATTAATTTATATTAGGGGACCAAATGGAGTCTGGACTTTAGAAAAACTAGGAAAAAAACCTTCATTCAATAAGAGCTTTGATGATACTGAACCAACCATTACACATATGGCTTTAAAAAAATTAGTTGATGAGGATAAAGTCACTTTCATTGTGAGTCAAAATATTGATGGTTTACATATAAAATCTGGGGTGCCACGAAACAAACTAGGCGAATTGCATGGAAATATGTACATAGAGCAATGTAACAAATGCCACAGGTGCACATTTTAATTAATATATCCTATATTTACAAATTTTAAAAAGTACTTTTGTAGGCAATTTATAAGAACTACTGCTACATCCAGTGTTGGTAAGAAGTATCTTGGATATTCATGTAAATCTTCTCATATTAGTAAACCTTGTCGTGGACACATGTTTGATACTATTTTAGATTGGGAACATGATTTACCTGAGAAGGATTTGGATATTTCTAGTATGTATTCAAGGTAAGCAATTATTTAATGTAACAAAACTCGAAAGGTTATATACATGTTTTCAATAAATGTGTTTTTCTTGGAATAAAGTTTCTATTTCCAAAGAATAAAAGTACTCAAATTTCACTGCTTTAATAAATTTAAAGATAATTATAAAGTGAATGAAAGTGTTATAAACAAAATTAGCTATAATTGATGTATAACTATTATTATAATAATAGCATAGCAGATTTAAACATTTGCTTGGGAACAACATTACAAATTATTCCTAGCGGTAATTTACCAATGAACAACAAAAAACGAGGAGGAAAATTGGTCATCTGCAACCTGCAACCCACCAAAAAGGTTATTTGTTTTCAATTGAAAATCTAAATACGTTTCTTTCCTTCATTCTCAAAATGCTATAATTCCAGGATAAACATGCTGATTTGCTTATACATGCTTACGTAGATGATATCTTCAAAAAATTAATGGATAGTTTAAATTTGGAAATTCCAAATTATAATTTTGCTCAAGATCCAACTAAATCAAAATCTCTAATAGAATATACACTTACTGCACAAGATGTAAAAGCTGTAAGGCTTTTGTATAGATTGAAACTGAAAGAGCAGAAAAAAGTTGCTAAAAGAAAATTTGATAAACTGACGTAAGATATTTTAATGATTCTTCTTGACTTCATTTGTGATTCCAAATATCTCTTTTCCAAGTTTAGTTTTATGGAATTTTATGTTTATTGATTTATGAACATATTTTATATTATTTTTAATATTTGTACATGTAAAATACACATTTACATATTTAAGTAGCAGGTCTCTTCATTTATTCTGAATAATTTTGTTTGAAAACAGATGACATACAAATATTAACAAAAATTAGAATTTGCTTCATCCAATCATTATTACAAGAAAATTTTCAGCCGTATTGTTCATAATAAATTAAGGCTTTGTTTCATCCAATGATATCACATTACAACCAAGAAATCCTTGGCCGTGCCATTTTTGAGGTACTAAATTTAGTTTCATAGGTGCCCCGTGTCGGAGTACAACCACTACAACATTTTTGCCAACACTATTACTAACAATCTGTCCAATCTGATGAAGTGATGTGAAATTATCAAAATGAAGAGAACCAAATTCTGTAATAACATCACCAACAATGAGGCCCTGGAATGAAAAGATAGAAGAAAAATTTAGAAATCACTGCATTAAAATGAGAAGAGTATTTGTGTATATTCATACGAAACCACTTACAGCTTGTTGAGCTGGAGAATCCACAGACACAACAGTAATTTTTGCAAATGGTTTTTTCTTCATACTTTTCTGTGTAGTGTAGTTCTTTAATCAAATCTGCACCCTTTTGAATATTGAGACTGGTTGCTGAATCAGAAGAAGATGCACCAGCACTAAGTAAAGGTTCGTGGATTTCATGTAAACCATTTTCTATTGCCTTCATAATATTTTTCAAGTCATTTTGTAAACCTGTCGAAACAGAGTATATATTATAAGCATACACTATGCTTCCTCGACTACTAGGATTTAAATAATTACAAAAGTACCACTTACATATGATTCTATGTCTAGCATGACGAACTTGGTAAACATCAATATCATTTCTGGGACAATCATTGTTGTCCACTAAAGGATCAGTCATGTTAATTCTATTCTGTAATATTGAATAGTATTAGTTAACAGAATAAACATATTTTCATTGAAATGACAGATATTACATTTCGCAAAACAGTTCCACATTGGTTTATTTCTTCCTCGATTCTTTCTTTTTCTTTCATTAAATCAAGAACTTGCGCTCTTTTGACAGGATCCATGGTTAAAACAACCATTTTACTATGATTAAGCAGTATTCTACTTAAATTTCGATTGATACGATTTATAACCTATAATATAACGCAATTTCTGTCATAATATTTACTTTGCAGTTTTTATCATGGCAACTAAATCCATAGTAGCAATCTTATTCGCCAGATAGATCGTAAACTCCACATTTTTATATGTAATAAAAAAAAAACATTATAAAAATCGGAATCGGGAAAAACGCCAAAATAAAAATCAAAATCCGCATGAAATACAAACATTTTGTTAGACAAGGAATATATTTCATATCACATGTGATTTAGATCACATGTGATTATGATGTTCATATGATGTTATTTATTTTAATATCATTTTTAACTTCCCGAAGGAGAAGTTTATGTTATCATAAAAAAATCCGAATTGCTAATTTTATGTTTTCTCGACGTTTCAAGCCATTCTGAATCGAATGAGACCAAATTTGGTAAAAGTATGTGTGTGTGTGTGTGTGTGTGCGTGTATGTGAACAGATTTTTTGCCGTAAATCGCCGTTTTCTCGAAAACGGCTGGACCGATTTCAAACATTTAAAAGCCACTCGATGTATCTCGATGAGGACTATTGGTTGTGCGACAATCGGTCAAGCCGTTTCTTTATAAATCGCAGAAAAGTGAAAAAAATTTCGTCTACGTTTTAGCGTGGGAATCGTTGCTGATTAGTTTTGGGAGAGATCGGGCGGGCCGTTTTCTTGTAATAAAGTTTTTAAAAAGAAAATTCGACGATCTTTATGATTATTTTTTTGACGGTAGAACTTTAATTATTAGTCTTCTAGATCAGGGTCGGCAAGCTTTTAACTGTGGTGTGCCGATCACTCTACCAATATGATTCAGGGGCCTCCTGAAATATATAACCGGGTTCTGGGGGAGAAGATTATAACCAAATTTATCTTTTAAACATTTTTGTAACTAGTGGGGTGCATGGCATCGTGCCTTAATTCAAATTGCTAGAACTTCCCATACTGAAATTAAAAATCTTGGTACTGAACCCAAAAAAAGTTACACCAAATATGTATACAGTATTAAAATCTCTATAAAAATATTGATAATTGATGTACATAAGTCCAATGGGTGTAAAATTACTACAATGGGTGTAAAATTACTACAATGTTTGTAAACAATACTACAATGGGTGTAAAATTACTACAATGTTGTAAACAATACTACAATGGTGTAAAATTACTACAATGTTTGTAAAATACTACAATGGGTGTAAAATTACTACAATGTTTGTAAAAATACTACAATGGGTGTAAAATTACTACAATGTTTGTAAACAATACTACAATGGGTGTAAAATTACTACAATGTTTGTAAAAATACTACAATGGGTGTAAAATTACTACAATGTTTGTAAACAATACTACAATGGGTGTAAAATTACTACAATGTTTGTAAAAATACTACAATGGGTGTAAAATTACTACAATGCTTGTAAAAATACTACAATGGGTGTAAAATTACTACAATGTTTGTAAAAATACTACAATGTTTGTAAAAATACTACAATGGGTGTAAAATTACTACAATGTTTGTAAACAATACTACAATGGGTGTGAAATTACTACAATGTTTGTAAACAATACTACAATGGGTGTAAAATTAATACAATGTTTGTAAAAATACTACAATGGGTGTAAAATTACTACAATGTTTGTAAAAATACTACAATGGGTGTAAAATTACTACAATGTTTGTAAAAATACTACAATGGGTGTAAAATTACTACAATGTTTGTAAACAATACTTCAATGGGTGTAAAATTACTACAATGTTTGTAAAAATACTACAATGGGTGTGAAATTACTACAATGTTTGTAAACATTACTACAATGGGTGTAAAATTACTACAATGTTTGTAAACAATACTACAATGGGTGTAAAATTTTTTTATAAGAAAATATAAAACTATATCTATTTTACAATTTTTTTTAAGAAAAACATATTATTAACATCAAACAATATTAATGTGACAGATGTGAATGTTTATTTTTACACAAATAATTATATCTAGGCTCAATTTGAGTTAGTGCAGATTGTAATAAATTTTCAACGTTTATTTGGTATTTTGTTTTATGTAAGTTAATATGGAAAATGCTGATTCACATAAATATGTTGTACAAAATGGCAATAATTTGTTCATTGCCATTTCCGATAGTAGGGGATATTCTGATTTGATTTCTATCCAAAATTCATGCACAGGCACTTGTAGTGTATACTTGTATGTAGTGTGTATACTAATTTTAAAATTTTATTTATAATGATTGAAAAGTATCAGATTTCTGCGGCCCCCTTTAAGTAGTCCTGCGACCCCCCTGGGGGTTACGACCAACAGTTTAAGAAGCCCTGGTCTAGGTTCACTTTATTTTAATTCCCGCTTATTTGATTTGTACAATTTGGCGGTTTTATTATCAGCGCCATCTGCAATGGTAAACTAATTTTTTTGTGTACTGATATGTCATATTGGTCATATCAGTCCGCGAAATGAAAATTGATCTAAAATAATGTAACGAAATTAATATTTTTATTTTTTTGAGATAATTTTATAACCCATTTCTATTATTTTATAAACTTTACGCATTTTTTAAAATTGAAGTGAAAAACTTTATGTGTAAGATATGCCTCCTAAGAAGAAAAGAAATCAGAAACCGCAAATCGGCGAACATGTTAGAATTGCTGTAGATATTAAATTACAACAATTCTTAAATAACCATGAACAAACTGAATTAGAATTTCCCAATAGTTTGTCTTCAGTTGAAAGGGCTTATATTCACATTTTAGTGAAAGATCATGGTCTTAAATCAAAATCTAAAGGAAAAGGTAAACATGAATAATTTATCACAATGAACTGTTTATTGTCAATGTAGGAATAAGAAATATATGAGTGCTTCTAAAAAGCTTTAGAGATAAATGAATATCAAAGATTTAAAAAGTCCCGCATTGGTGTTCGATTTGTCTTTAAACAATCATTTTTGATGTTAAAAATAGAGTGCTGTTTTGCATTGAAATATATTCTTCTTTGTGGCTGCTAATATTTTAAGATAAACTATTCAAATATTAATTTTTTTGTTGATGTCAAATGTAATATAAATATATTATATATTTTTTTATAGGGGATCAACGGTTTTTAACAATTTATAAAAGAGATCGTTCAACAATTATACAATCAGATTGTAGCTTCAATTTGACCAAAGCCTCATATCAAGCAATTGTCAATTTGCTCACAACATACCCTCTTTCACTTAAAGAAAAAACTGATGTTAAATCAGAAACCAACTCTCTAAGATCCGGTAATCCAAAAGTTCAACATAATAAAGACTTTTTAACCAATCCTGGTCGACTAAATAATGGGTTTGCTTTAGTACCTACTTTGAGTTATAATCCAGAATTAAAATCTTTTCGTGATTCTTTACCTATATCACAGTATAAAAGTGAAATATTAGATCTAATAAATGGCCATCAAGTTATTTTGGTTTCTGGAGAAACTGGTTCAGGCAAAACGACCCAAATACCACAATTTATATTGGACGAAGCAAGTACTAAAAATCAGTGCTGTCGTATTATTTGCACACAGCCTAGAAGAATATCTGCAGTATCGGTATGTGAAAGAGTTGCTTATGAAAGAGGCGTACAAGTTGGTCAAGATGTTGGTTATCAAATCAGATTGGAATCACGAGTCAGTCCTCAAACAGGTTTAATCTACTGCACTACAGGTGTACTATTAAGGACATTAATGGGTTCAAACAAAAGTTTTTCTAACATAACGCATGTTATAATTGATGAAATACATGAACGTGATAAATTTACTGATTATTTGCTAATAGTGCTTCGAGATAGCTTGCCTAAAAATCCATCACTGAAACTCATTCTTATGTCAGCTACAATGGATACAAAAGTGTTTACAAAGTATTTTAATAATTGCCCTTTTATTGAAATTCCTGGGCGTTTATTTCCAGTAAAGTCTTACTTTTTAGAAGACATTCTTCAAATAACCAATTACTCGAATAAAGATATGCAAAGAATTATGAGGTCACTTAGTAATCAAAATAAGAAGAATGATGATTGGGCATCACAATTTAGGAACATGCATTTGAATGAAAGTCATGGCAGGTTAGTATTATAATATATAATATAAGAACATATTCATTTATTTCAGAATATTTTCCATATATCTTCTATATATAAAAATAAGTCGGGTTTTCCTTCCTGACGAAATAACTCCAGAACGCACAAACCGATTTCGACAATTTTGCATTTGTTGGAAAGGTCTCGGGTTCCGCAAGGTTTATAGCCAAGAAAATTAGTTGTGCATGGCATTGTGCCTTAGTGCAAGCTGCTGGAACTTCACGCACCGTAATTAAAAATTCGAGTAATGACATTAGTGAGAATTATCAGAATTATGCTTGGTTAAGTCAACGAGCAATTCTTGTCGCAAAGAATAATGATGTAGACGCACTGAATTTTGCCATTAAATCAAAAATTGCTGGCGATTTGGTGACATACCAATGATTCCGACTGGTCTTCCGTTTGACTTCAAACGATTGCAATTTTCAGTTCACCTTGCGTTTGCAATAACAAGTCGCAAGGCCAATCGCTTAGTGTTTGAGGGATAAATTTCAAATAGATTATTTAGAAAATCATTGTTTTTCACATGGGCAGTTATACTTTGCCTGTTCACGAGCTGGGAAACCATCCGCTTTATTTGTGTTAACGTCAGACCAAAAAACAAAAAATGTGGTTTACCAAAGAGCACTTCAATGAAACGGATAATTTGCTGATTCACTTTCATTTACTTAGAGAAGTTCAACTAAAAAACACTTCATTTTTGTAATCGAAATAAATTCATTACTGTTGTATAATAAAATCACATTTTTCCTTTTCGAATATAAAACAAACAAAAAATTTCTTCATTTTTCTCACGAAACCATCTGGTGGCGAAACGGAGTTCGTCGGGTTTGCTAGTATATATATATATATATATATATATATATATATGTATTTATAACGGAGGAAAGTATTTTAAAAATTGTATGAAATGTTGAATAATTTCAATGCTAACTATGTTTAAATATTTAGCATGAAAACTATAATAGAAAAATAATTCTATCATAGTGCCATAGCACATCATAATACTCTTCAAGCAGTTGTTAAAATTTTATTTAATAAAAACAATTTGCATGAACTTTTCTGAAGTAAAACTTTATTAAGCGCGACTAGAGTGTAAATTTGTGAGAATGCAACGGAAATTGCGTTACGTCCGAACTGTACGCCATTCGCTCTCGATGAAATAGCCGTCGTGTCGTGTGAATAGAGATCTGTCGTTGTGTATGCGTACCGGCAGCAACGTTGTATGCGTCATTTTATTATCAAGGTTACGTTGTAGTACTAATCTTGATTTAATAAAAAAATTTCGAATCAAAAGAATATTTTACCCTGTTTCCCGTAAATAATTACAATGGAAATAATAAAATAAATAAAACATTTGTGCCATGTACTAAATGTAAGTTTATTGAAATAATTTCTATATTATTTGTAGCTTCTATAAATCTTTGAAGTTATTAAAATGAAAAATATTTTAGGCAAGACAGATTTTATAGCTGCTCAAAGAATGAGATTATATCGCCAGCGAAAAAGTAAAAAAAAAATACAACCAGTCAATGAATGTATGTTAATTTTAATTACATGAAGTTCTTCAAACACAATTATTACATGAGTGAAATTGTGAAAACAATATTTCTTCAGGAGTTGTTTTACATAATCCACTGTGTGAAGGATTATTATAGAATTTATTAATCAACAATTACTTCATTTCTCTAATAAAGGTCCAATCATTTCATATTTGAAGTATGACTTTAATTATATTATTGTTTTCAAATATTATAAATATTTTGAATGCTATTAATATATACTTTATACTTTATTATTATATAAATGTGTATAATGGTTGACACTAATAAATGTGTGCATTACGAGTGTTACCATATTACTAATAAACATTATTCAAAATTGTTATATGATGTATTTATTTACAATTGAAATGCCATCCTGTGATAACAAAAAAGTTTTACTTCAATCGCGTGTGATTACGCTCACTCTTTTTTTTTTTTGACCTAAATTTAGCTTCTTTTTATTTCAGCGAAAGTGAACCAGAGCCTGAAAATGATTTAAAAGATATAATGGACCAATCCCTGGCAGAACTTTGGATGAATGGATCCCCTCATTACTATGGACAAATTCTACATCTTATCCTAAATGAAAATGTCTCTGTAAATTATCAACATCGATCTATAGGTTGTACTATATTAATGGTTTGTGCTGGAAGAGGATTTGTTGATCAAACAGAACACATTTTGAGTTTAGGTAATGCAATTTTTTAACAACCGTGTATATCTATAATCATTTTTTAGAAAATGCTTTATGATTTCATCTGTTTCAGGTGCTAATACAAAATTACGTTCAAACAATAACTGGACTGCCTATGATTGGGCCCAGAACTTTGGTCAAAAAGAATGTGCAGATCTTATTGTTGCATATAGCGGTAGTCTTAAAATGTCAAATGAAATTGATAATATTCAAAGAAACATACAAAGTGATGAAGTTAAGAAACTTCTTGAAGCTTATTCATACTCTTTTAATTCTGATGACGAAGTTGATCATGATTTAATATTACATGTAATTAAATTTTTACATTCTAACCAAGACGATGGTGGAATTCTTGTTTTCCTGCCAGGATATGAAGACATAGTTAATTTACGAGATTTAATAATTAGAGATGAAAAATTGCAAGAAAGGCCTTATCAATTATTTATTCTTCATAGCAATATGCAAACTATTGATCACAAACAGGTGTTTAAGAAATTAATTGGAATTAGGAAAATAATTCTGTCTACTAATATTGCACAAACTTCTGTTACCATAGATGATGTAGTATATGTTGTTGATTCCGGAAAAGTGAAAGAAATTTCTTTTGATGGGGTACAGTAATAATAAATCTCTTTTTTATCTGCATGCTACTGCAATTTATTCATAATAATAAGTGAATTAATATTTGTCTGCTTTCTTTGCTAATTAATGTGCATTTTTGAATTCATTATTTTCTAGATTAGTAATACGACATGCTTAAGAGCAAATTGGGTATCAAAGGCTTGTGCTATGCAGAGGGCAGGAAGAGCGGGTCGGGTTCGTCCTGGTTTATGCTTTCATTTATTCTCTAGTGCACGTTATAATGAAGTTATGAAACCATTTACTACGCCGGATATATTGCGGACTCCTTTGCAGGTAATTTTTAAAAATTCAAAACTGTTTGAAAGATATTGGCTGGGAATCGCGTTGATTATTTCTTATTATTCATTTATTTATTTATATATACACCAATAGGATATTTACAGTAAATTCATAATATTGCACTAATAATTTTTTAACTTAAAAAACTATTAATATTGAATTTGAATACTAACATATATAAAAGAATATACATACTCTTTTTACATAATACTTCGGTAACATAATCTAATAATTAATTCCTCATATTATTTTATTGTATAGATTTTATTTATTTATTAACTTCCCATAGGGTAAGTTATTGTAATCATCCAAAAATCGAAATTGAGAATTTTTGCATTTCTCAACGTTTTGAAGGTTTCTGAATATTTTGGCATACCTCAGAAAAAATGGATGTGTGTGTGTGTGTATGAATGGATACAATTTCTCGTCCACGTTTTCGGGCGCACGGATCAACCGATTTGAATGGTTCAAAAAACATTCGATTCCTATTGATAGGGAGATGTGCTGATTAGTTTTTGGCAAAGGCAGGTCCAGCCGTTACGGAGATACGGAGCAACGACTGCAGAAAATAGAAATCGAGTTTTTGAGAGAACGGAGCATCCGATTTGAATGATCTAAAAAACATTTAATCAGTAATAATTGGGAGAAGTGGTTGTTAGTTTTTGGCAAAGGCAGGCCCAGCCATTTCGAAGATACAGAGCTAAATGTGCAAAAAATGGCAGTTTTTGAGAGAACTAAGCGTCCAATTTAAATGATTTAAAGAATTTTCTGCTTGTTTTAACAAAATAATTGATCTTGAAAAAAAAATTTTTTGTTTCAAAATTTTTTTAAATTTTTTTTTTGTATATCCAAAATAATTCAGATTTTATTTTTAATTCTGACTAAAGTCCTAATATACTTCAAACAAATAATTTTAACTTCTCATAAATATTAGACAATGTTACAATACTTATAATAATCTATTTGAAAACATTCAATATTCCTCGAACATTTCGTTACGGTACGGGAAGTTCCAGCAATTTGCCTTAAGGCAAGATGCCATACACCCCATTAGTTGTAGTTTATTTTATTGTATAATTAAATGTTGGAATTTTATGGCCCTATGACAAGTGCTTTAATTTTAAAAAATGATCAACGTTTGAAAAAATATGATAGTCAAAACTTGGTCAATAGCCGATTTTGTGATGTTTGAGTCAAATTTTGAATTTCGTCAAGGTTGTCTCAAAAACGGGAGAACCGATTTCATGAATTTAAAATCCATAGGATCAAACTCGATAAGGTGGTGTCACTTATTAGTTTCTGGTGGTTTGCGAGACGATCGGCCAAGCCATTTCTTTAGAATTAGCATGAAAGTGCTTTTTTGTAACCGTTGCCGCAAAAATCTTACTATCTCTGTTTTATGGATTTGTGCACTATTCACAGAAATTAATTAATAATTATCTAAATAATCACTCTTTATATCTGTATCACCTACATCACTTTTCTTGTCTAAAAAATGTTAATTTAATTTAATTTAAATGTCTATGAGTAAATGAGTATCAGGGACTACGTACATGATCTATGTAATTGTGCCAGTGTTTTCCTATAGCATATATTTCACTAAATGATTTTTAATGAAATTCAACATGGCGATAAAGTTTATGCACCAAACAGTTCTAAAAAAATTGGTTGAATTATATAAACTCATTAAAATTTGTAACAATTTTAGAACATGCAAGCACGTGTTTGGGAACTATAATTGATATAATTACAGATATTATAAATGGGTTTGAGAGATATCAATTGGAAATCACATTGTGTAGTTTTTAGTGAAAGCAAAAACTTTATTTTTGAAACGAATAGTTGAAAATTTTATCTAAATAACTAAGTTTCAATTTCGATTGATTAAGTTAATTCTTACACATTTAGGAAAGTTCATGCAACTTAAGATAAAATACCACTTACATCTAGTTAACTTCCCGAAGGAGAAGTTTATGTTTTCATAAAAAAATCCGATTCGCTAATTTTATGTTTTCTCGACGTTTCAAGCTATTCTGAATCGAATGAGACCAAATTTTGAAAAAGTATGTGTGTGTGTGTGTGTGTGTGAACAGATTTTTTGCCGTAAATCGACGTTTTCTTGAAAACGGCTGGGCCGATTTCAAAAATTTAGAAGCCATTTGATGTATCTCGACGAGGACTATCGTTTATCAGTTTTGTGCGACGATCGGCCAAGCCGTTTCTTTATAAAACGCAGAAAAGTGAAAAATTTTTAGTGTCTACGTTTTAGCCCGCAATTCTGAATCGATTTTGAAAATTCAAAAACCGTTCGAAAGGTCTTGGTTGGGAATCGTGCTGATTAGTTTTTGGTAGAGATCGGCCAGGCCGTTTTCTTGTAATAAAGTTTTTTAAAAAAAAAATTCGACGATTTTTATGATTATTTTTTTGACGGTAGATACTATAGTCTTCTATATCATACTAAAATATTACGGCCCTACGACAACTGGTTCAGCTTTAAAAATTCTTCAAAGTTTGCAAAAATTGGTATCGTTTTTTTGGCATTTGTCAAAATTAGACTTTTGATCGACGTTTTCTCAAAAACGCATGAACCGATTTTAGAAATTTAAAAGCCATTTGATGTATTTATGTGAGGACTTTCGTTTGTCAGTTTTGTGCGACGATCTGCCAAGCCGTTTCTTTGCAATTTGAAAAAAAGTGTTAAACTTTTCGTCCACATTTAAGCTTATCCTACTGAACCGATTTTAAAAAAATCAAAAACTGTTCGAAAGATATTAGTTGGGAATGACACTGATTAGTTTTAGGTGAAAACCTACCGAGCCGTTTTCTTGTAATGAACTGTTGAAAAAAAAATTTAAGTCGATTTTCATGGAACTTTTTTTGGCGATATACATCATGGTCTTATAGAACTTACTGTAATATTACGGCCTTACGACAAGTAGTTTAATTTTAAAAATTCATCAAACTTTGCTAAAATTATTATCGTTTTTTTTTAAAGTAGGATTGATGAAGTATATTATTTAGGGGAGGTAGGGGAGCATTGGGCACTTTTTTACATAAATGTTAATAAAACTGTTATTTTTTATCATAATCAAAATTTTATTCCTAATATAGGGAGCACACATATTTGGTAGTAATTATTATTAAGAAAAGTTTCAATATTGTAATTAGTTTCAAAGTTACAAGAGATCTTCGAACACATGTCCAAAGTGCCCAAACCTCCCCGCGGTCGGGAGGTTTGGGCACCCATGTAGGGAGGTTTGGGCACTGTATTTAATATGCACGAAATTGCATATAACATTACTATAAAAAATTGTAATACAAACATTTTTTCTTATCATAGATTTTAGAAAAATTTAACAATGTGACTTAGAATCAGTACTGCACGATGTTAGACTTAATTAAACTTTAAAACTTAAAATTATATTTTAAGCTGCCACGTTTCATCCATGTCGTTGGTGTAGGCAATTTTGTCTTTATATCCTCTATCTTAAATCTGCAAGAACGTGTAAGTATCTGTGTTATCTTTTTCTTTTGTGTTTAATGAATATTATATTTGCCTGTAAATTAGGTTTCTACATTTGATAAAAATAATCTTATTCTAATCTATTTGAAAAGTGAGGTTATGGGGAACATTGGGCATGCCCAAACCTCCCTCCTACCTGCGTGCCCAATGCTCCCCATAACCTCACTTTTCAAATAGATTAGAATAAGATTATTTTTATCAAATGTAGAAACCTAATTTACAGGCAAATATAATATTCATTAAACACAAAAGAAAAAGATAACACAGATACTTACATGTTTTTGCAGATTTCTTTGATAAGTTACATCAAATCACAAATAAAATATTTACTTCTGTACGCACCAAACCGTTACGCGCATGTAACTTGACAACCAAGTGAAATAACAGCCGACACTTTAGATAAGCGGTGTTGCTAGTGAATAAAGTATAGTGCTGTGGTAGAAAACAAAAAATATCTATGGAAGTTTTGGAGAAATGAGGGGGTGCCCAAACCTCCCGACTGCCCAATGCTCCCCTACCTCCCCTACACATTTTTTTTTTGATTAAGTCGATTATTTACACATATCGGGAAGTTCATGTAACTTGCCTCAAGGCTAAATACCAAACCAACTAGTTTTATTATATAACTTAAATAAGCATTTAAACATTTAAATAATTTTTAACTATTTTTTAAAATTCAGGAACTATGCTTGCAAACAAAACTCTTAGCACCAGTGGAAATGTCCATTGCTGATTTCTTACAAAAAGCAATCGATTCACCTCCAGCTATGATTACGAAACAAGCAGTGGCGCTGTTAAAAACTATGGGTGCTTTAGACAATTCTGAAGAGCTAACAGAATTAGGAATGCATTTAGTGAATACTCCTTTAGAACCGAGATTATCAAAAATGATTATGTATGGAGTTATTTTCAAGTGTCTCGATCCTATATTAACTATTGCTTGCTGCTTAGCACACAAGTAAGTAATATTTCTTAAAATATAAATTAGGTCATTTTAAACTATCTACTATCTCTTATTTATTTTACAGAGAACCATTTGTAATACCGACACAAACATTTGAAAAACGAACCTTAGCAAATGTTCGTAAAGATTTTTCAGGGGGAACTTTCAGTGATCATATGATGTTATTGCAAATTTTTCAGGTAACTAGATGGAATATTTTACTGAAATGTAATATACAATAAATTAATTGTGTAAATATTTTAGGCATGGCAAAAATCAAGGCAAGGCAAATATGAACGTCAGTTCTCCACAAAAAATTTTGTTAATTCTGCAACAATGGAACAAATTCTCAACACTCGCACACAATTATTAGGACACCTGAGAGCTTCTGGGTAATTAATAGAAAAGAATTATTTTATTATGGTATTTTATAAAAAAATTATTATGATTATTTAACTAATTTGAATATTACTGTACAGGTTTGTCAAAGCAAAAGGGCATTATGATATAAAGTATTTAAATGTGAACTCTGATAATTGGCCTCTTATTAAAGCAGCTATGGTTGCTAGTTCATATCCTTCAATGTGCAGATTAGATAGAGAATATATGACACTGCGCACACAGTGAGTACCATAATTTTAGTTTATTACCTCAAGAATTATACATAATTTTTATTTCAGAAATGAAACAAAGGTTGGCTTTCACCCTTCAAGCAGTTTAAAGACTGAAATCAATTTCAAACATAAACCATCAGCAGCCCAGGTTGAATTTTTGAACAAAGTTCCTTCAGAATGGATGATCTTTGAAGAAAAATCCAGAGTTGGTCCTTGGTGTTTTATTCGAATTGTTACATTTGTTTCACCTATAACTGTAAGTTTATGATTAGAATAGGTATTAATATTCTTTTATTTATAATTAAGTAAATTTTATTATTTTCTATAATATATTAAAACTATGTTGTTTTTTTGTATTGCATGTTAATGGTAATTTCACTTGGTGTATATTAGCAGTATTTTAGTTTTCAACTTCCCGAATGCAAAAACAAATTTGATTTGCTGATTTTATGTTTTCTGAATTGAATGCAACCAAATTTGGATGTATGTGTGTGTGTATGTGAGCAGATTTTTGACCTTTTGTCGATGTTTTCTTAAAATTCAAAAATAAAAATCATTAAAGTTCAGAATTTTGATCGTTTAAGCGATTCTAATCAATAATATATGCCAAATCAAATGTGCGATCCATGCTTTGTAGGCAGCTACTGATTACAGGTGACGTCTACACTTAAAAAGTATTTTTAGAACTTGAAATGGATGAAGTAAAATGTGTTGATTAAATTAAATTATGGATGAAATTTATATCTTATTGATTAAGTTAAATATGTATACCTAACTGAAAGTTAATGCAACTTGCCTGAAGGCAAAATGATACTTACAACTAGTTGTATATATTTTTAAACAAGTTGTTATTTTTTCCCTCTTAGGTGGCACTTTTTGGTGGGCCGATCAGGAACACTTCATCTATGATTACTAAAACTCCTGTGGTTGAACTTTCAAGTGAATCAGACAGTGAGTCTGAACATAATTCAAATAGAACTAATAATACAAAAACATTTGCAGTGGATGATTGGGCTCGCTTTGAGTTTGATGACAAAACTGCAGATTGTATTTATGATTTAAGAAGAAAATGGAATGCCTTATTTTTAAGAAGGTTGATCAACCCATCGAAAGCTATGTCAGCGGCTGATGAAGCTGTGTTGAATACTGTTATTAAGGTATTAACTGAAGAAGACTTAAAAGCAGGTTTTGTGCAACCGGTGGGTATTGGACAAAGGCCTTTATCTACAGAAGACATGACTCCTGCGGTGTACCAAAATTTCTCAAACAAGGATACATGTAGTGCTAAAAATAACATATCATGGAGAGACAGACAATCTAAACCTAGCTTTAATAGAAATAATGATAGAATTTGTAATGTCAAGTATTCTAAATACTTTTTGTATAAAATGGATCACGGCAAAGATGGGACCACTATGTATAGATACAAGCAAATATTTACTGTTAATCAGAAATTTGCAATGTTGTTTCATAGAATCTTACAGGTATATAAATATATATATATATATATATATATATATATTATTATTATTATTATTATATTTTATGCAATGTTTTAATAGTGTAATTGGTAATCTTTGTGTTATAATAATAATAATTTTTAACTCTTTCAGAATCATGGTCGTGTATATATCATATTTTTATCTGCAAACAAAATGAATTTTGATGGTGTAGCTGAAGTTAAAAGCAGCGTCTCGGGCAATGATAGAAATGTTCAACTAAACTGGTTGAGTCGCTTACATGTGCCAATTGCAGGCAGCGGGTAAGTAATCTTGCTCTTATATAGTAGAATAGTAAATTTACAGAATAACTTTATGAAAATACCTTTCACATCATGTTAAAATAGTAGATTAAAAAACATGATTAGCATGATAACAAGGTTAAATAGTTTTTTAATTAGTTTTTATTCTGAAATAATTTAAGTTTATCCATTAGGTTTGGAACAACTGTGAATGTTTCTGTTGTAAGTGACGGCATTGAACTTGAAGATGAATTTGGAAAAACTTTGATGGATTATTTAATTAATTACAAACCCTCTATCATAATTCTGCTGAAAAATATTATGTACAGAAGAATTAAAATTATAATACTCGGATTTTTTCTGTTATGTAAAGTATTTATTTATAGTGTATAATTTCAGTATGTTTTTTTTGCATTACACATTTCATAGAAAAAATACTTGGCAATATATGGTACGTACTTAGCACTTTCATTATGAATTATTTAAACCTAATTATGTGCATATAGAAAACAATATTTGTTATTATATACATAGTATATTTGATTTTATTTATATTTAGTAAATGTAATACCAATAACTTAATATGCAATGTGATTATAATATAATCTGTGATGAATTGAATATATAATGTGTTATGAATTACAGTACAAAAATTAAAATATATTTCATTTTATATTGATTTTGTTTATTATTCTGGGTATGCAAAGATATATTTTTAATTTTCCGTAGGAATAAAAAAAATCGAAAATGAAGATTTTTATATATGTCTACGTTTCAAAGGTTTCTGAATATTTTGGCATACCTTAAAAAAAATGGATAAAGATGTGTGTTTGTGCGGATACAAATTTTCGTCGACGATTTTGGGAACACGGATCAACCGATTTGAATAATTCAAAAAACATTCGATTCGTCTTGATAAGGAGACGTGCTGATTAGTTTTTGGCGAAGGCAGGGTTAGCCGTTCTGAAGATACGGGGCAAAACGTGCCAAAAACGGAAACTTTGTTTTTAAGAGAACGGAGCGTTCGATTTTAATAATTCAAAAAACATTTTACTTGTATTAACAAGATGAAGAACTGATTACATTTTTTGGAAGGCAGGTCCAGCGGTTATGGAGTCCCGATAAAAATAAGTTAAAAAAATGTCATTTGGCGATCAATAATGTTTACTGAATTTATGTTCATCAAATTATCAGATATTTTATAGAGATTTTAATAATGTGTACACATTTTGTGTAATTTTTTTTGGGTTTCGTACCAAGATTTTTAATTACGGTACGGGAAGTTCCAGCAATTTGCCTTAATGTACGATGCCATGCACCGCACTAGTTATTTTTCATGTGGTATCTAGTATAAACTATTATTAAAAACATAAAAGTTTTTTAGGAAGTCAAATATGAAAGCATATTTGTTGAGCAAAATTTAAAAATTTGTTTGCATTGTCAATAACATAGTTTTAAAAAATATTTCAGTACATTCAGCTATAAGTCAGTAAGGAACTTGATTTTAGACCCACAATTCATAGTAATAATTGTGAATATAATATTCTTACAATTCCTCATAATTCACTTCCGCATGTTGTAAAAATATTTATAGGTTTATGACCAGGTTTATTATATTGTCTAGGGTTTATGACAAATTTACTTAAAATTTTTGTTGATCAGTTTATGTACTGTACTTGAAAGTTCAAAGGTTGTCCATTCCTGGATTGGTTTTTGACATGAATGTCAACATCGTCACATTGTAGTGATTTTGATCAGTGATGTAAGTTTGATTAGCAATTTAGAAATTAGTGTAAATAATTAAATATTTAACTGAATTAGTTAATCATAAAAATGTTGGTGGATAGTTCAACAGTTCGTCGATTGCAAGTATTATATCGTATTCTAAATAAAACACAAAATGTTAAGGTTTATCCTTCAAGAAAATATAGCGCGGACGCCAAAGTTACGATTGGAGATGTTTCTAAAGAAATAACGGTGCCTAAAAATCCTGAATATGTTCCACGCAAATATTGTACGTGTAATATAATATGTATTTTTAAATGTTTCCATTTATAGGTTAGGTTCATGAATTCATCATATTCAAATATTGTCTAGGGTTAGGTTTGTGAAGTTACTTGTTACTACTTATGTTGATGAATTATTCAAAATGCTTATCAGTATTTCTTTATCCTTTGTTTAAAAAATATCTTCGCCTTAATCGTGCCTCTTTTCTTGAACATGATTTGATTTCAGAGTTTTGCAACCTTTTAACTACCCGTAAGTTTTAGTAATAGTCCAAAAAACGAAAATGAAAATTTGTGCATATCTCCACGTTTTAGAGGTTTTTGAACATTTTGGCATACTTAAAAAAAATGGATATGTGTATGTATGTGTGGATACAATTTTTCGTCCACGTTTTAGGGAGCACGGATCAACCGATTTGAATGATTCAAAAACATTTGATTTCTATTGATAGGGAGACGTGCTGATTAGTCTTTTGCAAAGACATGTCCAGCCGTTTTGGAGTTACATAACAAAAAATAGCAGTTATTAAGAGGTTAGGATCAACTAATTTAAAAAACATTTTCCTTGTGTTGATATTGTGAAGAAATGATTAGTTTTTGGAGAAGGCAATTTTTTTCACTTCAGAATTAAAAAAAAATCCATTTGCTTTTTAAATATCTAAAATTATTTGGATTTCATTTTTAATTCAGACTGAAACCATTAAAATTTGTCGAATATATCATTACGGTACGGGAAGTTCCAGCAATTTGCCTTAAGACACGATGCCATGCACCACGAGTTTCTTATAAAATTCCCAAAGAAAAAGTTTGTTTTGACCAAATAATCCGACTTGCTAATTTTACGTTTTTAGACGTTTGTGGTCATTCTGAATTGCTTCAGACCAAAATTGAAAAAAGTCTGTATGTGTGCATGTGAGTGTGTATGTACGTTAGCAAAAATTTGACCTTTAGTCTAAGTTTTTTCAAAAACGGCTGCACCGATTTTAAACATTTAAAAGCCATTTGGGGACACTCATTAATCACGTGATCGACTTTTTAAAGAGTTCCCCCGTTCCCCACCAAACTAACGGTAAAATTTTTGAAGTTGTTTAGATTTTTTTTAAAAAATTCAGATAAAAAATAAATACACATGATATTTTAGTATACCCCTCCCTCCCACTATATTTAGTTTTTTTTGTCAAACCTCCCCCTCCCCCTAAAAGCCTTACGTGATTAATGAACGCCTCCTTTGATGTAATTCGATAAGGATTTGCGCTGCTTGATACCTAGTTTTTTGCGATGATCGGTTAAGCAGTTCCCTTATAACTAACAGATAAGTGTTTTTTGTTTAAGATTGTCTAAGATCTAATTTAAAAAATTCAAAAGCTACTCCAAAGATATTATTTGAAAATCGTGTTGAATAATTTTTAGTGAAGATCCGACGAGCCGTTTCTTTGTAATTATTTGTTAATTTGTTTATGGGGTTTATGAAACCGTTTATGATGTGATGATAGAGTTCATGGACTCTTAATGAAGGTCTTGAAATATTTTGGGTCTACAAAAAGTTACTTAATTAAATTTAAATAATTTAATAAAGAATTCATTAAAGTTTGGAATAACGTCACAATTTTAAGAATTGGCAAATCTGATTTTTTTTAATAACCTGATTATTTACTATGATTCACACATATCAGGAAGTTCGTTCAACTTGCTTTAAGGCAAGATGCCACTTACAACTAGTAAATGATAGATGAAATACATTTCATCATATCACTATTAAACAAGGTTTAAGTCTAAAATACTAAAATCGCTTGTCGATAATTTAACTGCGAATATTATATTTTATTTTGTATTATGAACAAATTTGTTGAGATTTCTTCCTTGATTTTCCTTCTAAGTTGCTATTGGTGATATTTCTTCAGATAATCATTAGATGTAGTTCTGAAGAAATTAATCTTCTAAAGATTTTGAATATTTTCCGCAAATATGCTCACGTTTAAACTTATGTTAGCATATTTCATTATTTTCATTAATTAAATCTGTAGTTATTATTGACCCTGAAACTGGCCAGATATCGCTGCCTCGCAATTCTCTTCGGCACTTACGATGGCTGCTGCAAAAGGACCGCCTGGGACAAGATGCCTTTTTACTCGGACGTCCAGGACCTGCACGTCGGGCTGTTGCGATGCAGTATTTACAATTAACGCAAAGAGAAGTCGAATATGTGGCCTTGAGTCGAGATACTACAGAAGCTGATCTTAAACAACGGCGCGAAATCGTCAATGGCAGTGCAAAATATTTTGATCAGGTTGGGACACAAATATTATTGATAGAATTATCTTTGTTTAATTGATCATATCTAAAGTTACTGTTTGAAACACTTTATTGCCATAAGTGTTTTGTTTTAAAAATAATTAAATATTATTTATTTTTTGTTATGCAGAAATTTTCTAATCTTCATACCGATTAGAAATTAGAAAAATTAGAACAATACGCTGAAAATTGATAAGTTGCTTTGGAATTCTGGTCTAAATTGAGATAATTTCAGATCATCATTAGAAAGACTAGCTGCTGTTTCTTGAACTGTTTTTTCAGCATCTTCCAAATTTACCAGACGCAAAACGGTCTGTTTAGCCAATTATTATATTTCTTCTACGATTTCACCCATATTTTGAAAAAAAACCAAGATAAAATAAAAACCGGGTTAAGTGGAGTATTTTTGTATTTATGAAACAAGTAATAACTTTTCTTGCTACAAAGCCATTCAAAAGCAATTATTTTAAGACTACACATGCCTAGTGCCTGGGAAATGCATAAAAGTGTCATTTAATGATTGATTTTACTTTGTAAATTTTATGTTTATTATTTAACTGCACTTTGGGCTACGAATTATGATCTTACAATTATTTGCTATTTTGTTTTATACAAAATCTTTTTTATTAATTTCTTGTTGATTGATTGATTAAATTATGTACTTAAAAATAGATTATTAGAATAATAATTAATACTAGAATTAATTTTTGTGTCTAACACATTTCAGAGTGCAGTTCGGGCGGCTACATTGGGAAGAGTCCTGGTTATCGATGGCGTGGAAAAGGCAGAACGCAACGTTTTACCAGTTTTAAATAATTTATTAGAAAACAGGGAAATGCATCTGGAAGATGGACGGTTTCTGGTTCCAGCATCACGTTATGATGCCTTGTTGAAGGTATGTACATATTAGGTTGTCAAATATCTCCCTTCCGCTTTTTTGCTCTTGGTTTATAATACAAAAAGGCGGAAGGGAGATATTTGACAACCTATTATTAGAACCAATAGTTACATTGGTTTATTAATGTAATAGATGATTAAGTTAGTAATTCATTATTGTATTTAATGTAGGAACATGGCGAAGAAGAATTAAAGAGATGGGGTTTAGTTCGAGTTTCAGAAGATTTTCGTGTATTAGCACTTGGACTACCAGTGCCACGTTACCGAGGAGCACCTCTGGATCCACCTCTGCGCTCACGGTTCCAAGCCAGAGACGTTTCTGATGCCAGTTTCCAGGTAAATATATAAGGATTTAAGAAAAAGATGATAATTTTTATTATAAATATATTTCAACAATCATTATTTTAATAATGAACTTTCCTCATCCATGCTCTTGTATAATGTATGTACTTCAATATTCTTACACACTAAAATGTAAAAATATATTGATCATTTAAATATGAATATATATGTATATATATATATGTATATATATATATATATATATATATATATATATATATAATATACTATGGACTATGTACGTTGACCACAACCTTATTAAAATTTTACATAACAAATCAATTACCAATGGAACCACGCAATGTGAAAATCTGTATGATGAAATTAAGGAGGAATTTACAGGAATTGAATAATATTAAAATAATTAAATTAACTCAACCTTAACGTTGGCTATAAATAAAATATGGTAATAAATTGACTGCAAAATTTTGTAAAGTCATAATAAGGAATTTTTTGCACGCACAGACTCTCTCACTATGTATATATGTATATATATATATATATATATATATATATATATATATATATATGTACATATATGTATATATTATAAACCTCTTAATTTATATATATATATATATATATATATATATATATATATATATATATATATATGAAGTGTTCAATAATTTTATCATCATTAACCAAATTTGCTATAAAGATGCTACGACTAAGCATGACTATTGGAATTAATTGAATCCAAAGTAATATTTAAATTATCATATTTAATAAGCGAGTACATAATATCTTTATTAATATTACAATAATCTATTTATGACAATCACATATTTTTCAGCGTATTACATAGATATTCAATATTTACCTACTGGATAAATTTACAGTGAACAATTTATTTAAAGATTTTTCGATTACTTTAACATGTATAAAATATGTGTATATTATTCATGTATAGTGGGTGTGCAAAAAATATGTTTTGACTTAAGCCAAGTAAATGATTAATTTAAAGAATATAAAACATATACCATATATTATGTAAATGGTATTTTGGGGCCTATTGTATTAATGCACAGTTTATTTTACAAAACTTCAAAAAGTTGAAAGAAACTTTTTTAAGAAAGATTTCTGAATCTGATTTACAATTCCTCAGTAGTTTTCAAAATTTTTTACTATTTCCAAGCATTTAAAAATTTTCAAAAATTATTAAAGTAATATTAATTCTATTAATTTAATAATTGTTTAAAATTCGGGAAGTTCAGCAATTTGCCTTAAAGCACATTGCCATACATAGTTAGTTTAATATATAAATTGCATATAAAGTTGTGCTATTTTAGTGCTTTTATAATTCACTGTAAATTGCACTGTCGTTGTCTCCTGGGATTATAGACTGACGTCCTGGTAAACTTGGCATGAATATGTGTAATTGCTTTCTGGCCACCTAATAATTTAAAATAAATATATTTAGAGCTTAAAGGCTCTTATTATATTTTGAGAACAAAATCAATTTGATTACCTGAGCATTACAAACCCTTTCAATATGTTGTCTCTCTACTGCTTTTTCATATGCAGTTGATCGTGATAAGATTGCTGGTATTTTACTTTTAATTTTACTTTGAGCATAAGTTTTCTTAATGATTGGAATTTTGTTTCTAACTTCGACCAAACTTGCCACAGTAGATGGACTTGGAGACACTGGCAAAGATTGCTGGTCATCATTTGTCATGCCTGCCATCGATTCGATTTCTTTGTAATCTAGAAATTTATTAATGAATAATAATATATAATAACTTTGCTTTAGCATGATTAACATATTTAATTTGTAATCCAGGGAAGACTACAATAGATCAAATATAAAATAACTGAACCATGTATAATTTTTAGCTTCTTTTTTATAAAGTTCTGTGGTAATATTATCAAATTTTTTCAATTATTTATTTAATTTAAAAAGAGCATGTATTTGAATATCAGTTTTTCCTACCATCAATGCTTTCTTGTACTGCAGAACTTTTCCTTGATTTGACAACACTTTTCTGTACATCACTTGGATTTGTTCCATTATTAAATGACATGTTAGGATTGCTATAATTGTGGAGCAATGTATGATTTCTTATTTTAATGTTATATAATTGTACACTGGCCACACGTTTTCGAGCACATTTTTGATTATATCCTTGTTGGTCGCCCATGAAACCAATATCCTGGTTAGATAGAATGTTACCACCACGACCAGCCAAATCTAACCATTGTAAGACTCGGTCTGATAGTTGAGAGCTTGATGGATCTGGAAATTGGAAATACAAGTTATCTACATTTTAGATTATTTATTTATAAAAATATTTTGAATTTATATACGAGTAACAAAAGAATATTAAAAATATATGAGTCTCGCCTCGCTTTGTTTCATCCTGCAATTGATCACTGTCTGGGTCATGTTGGCTTTTATTTTCTTCAGTACCAGATTGGGCATAACCAGGGCAAGACATTTGGTGTTTCAAACAAGATTTCGTTCTTATATGTATTCGCCTATTATATTCATCATTGGATTGCTGATTATAAACTGGAGCCCCTGTTTTTGGTCTTTGATTTGATAATGTTTTGGAAGTTTGTGATACGATTTTAGAATTTCGCCGAGTTTGAACTGGCTCATCCTGATGATTTATTTGAGATTCATTTTCACTTCCACCTAGGATTGCTGAATTTGTTGAAGGCGTAGAAGCACCTGGATAAATTCAAACATTTAACAGAAATTAAGACATTGATAATGAAAATTATCACAATTATATATTTATTGTTCAGATATCGATTTCAATAATATTGGCTGACCTGAAATCGATGATCTCATTTCTGATGTAGCGACAGAAACGATTTCTGGGGTTGATTTATTTAAAGCTGTATTTTTCTTCTTGGATGCTGAAAGATTAGAAATAATTACTCCTTTAATTTTAATTAAATTAATTTGTTCACAATTTATAAATTAAATACCTTGGTTGCAGAGTATCAATTACGATTAGCCAATTTAATTTTCACTTATAGTTGTTTAGTATAGTATATTGAAACCAAGTAAAACCAAAATACTATTTTAAGTTTTTACAAATTGGTAACGTTTATAGTGAACATGAAGCTCCTTTACACATAATCTGAATTTCAATTATCGAACTGCTTTTAAATTTTTATTATTATTACCTGTTCTGGGATTACTCTGTTTTATACATCTCTCATTGGTTTTTGGAGTAAGTTGCAAAGGTCTTATCAGCATCGGGTCGTCCTTAGTTAGAATTGCGTGATGGTGTGTGCCTGTCCAAAGGGTTCGAATCAGTAAGGGTCCTGCAGAACTTGCCCAACGTGTACTGATTTTCTGTGCAGGATTTCCTACTGCTTTAATCACCATATTGGAAAAGAACGATGATCTTCTATAAAAGTTATTTATTATTTGTTATCCCAGATTGCGCAGTTTATTTTATTTATTTTATTCGATTTTTAATGTCAGCTAATGTGATATTAAAACTATTAGTAAGTGATATTTGGCCTTAAGACAAGTTAGTCTTAATACAACGGTGCAGTTATTTTGTTTACATATTTTGAGAAATTTCATGTCAATTGATTTAGAATGATTTGAAACGATAACGAAAGACAACATAAAATTAGCGATGCGGATTTTTTTTATGAAGATATAACCGTTTTCCACTCGAATTTTATAATAGTTTAATTCAATTAAATAATAAATTTAACTAGTGAAGCATGACATCGTGTTTTAAGGCAAATTGCTGGAACTTCCCGTATCGAAAAAAAAATTTAAAAAAAATAATTTTATTTCCAACTTTGAAAAAAAAATTGACTTTTTGAAGTAAGTTATAGTAATCGCAAAAAAATCGAAAAAGAAAATTTTTGTACGTCTTTACGTTTCAGAGGATTTTGAATCATTTTGCATGGATGTATGTGTGTGTGTACAAATTTTCGGATACCGACGATTTCGGTAACACGGATCAGCCGATTTAGATAAATCTAAAAACATTTGATTCCTATTGATAAGGAGACGTACTGATTAGTTTTTGGCGAAGGCAGGGCCAGCCTTTCGAAGATACGGGGCAAAAAGTGCTAAAAACAGCACTTTTTTGAGGCAACGGAGTGTCCGATTTGAATGATTCAAAAAACATTATATTTATATTATGGAAATGAAAAACTTATTAAATTTTTGGGAAAGCAGGGTCTAGCGGTTTTAGTGATCCAATGAAAAAAGTAAAAAAAAAAACATTTGGCGATCAAAAATGACCATTAGATATATTACACATCAAATTATCAGAGATTTTGATAATAAATACAAATTTTGTTTACAATGAGTTCCGTATCGAACTTTGGGTACTCATAAAACATAGAAATAATTTGTAAATGTAGCAAGTTTTGACAAAAAATGTAATATAACTTACTCAATAATAATACATGTAATTTCAATATAATTTATAAATTTGATTGATAAGTATTTTTATTAAACTCAATCAGTTGAAATTCAAATTAGTCATAGACCTTATAAATATATATTATAAGGTTTATGAAATTAGTTGAATAATCATGTAAGCGTATTTATCACAATTGTTTACATCGTTTCGTAATATCAGATTTTTTGGCGAAAACATACGCTTTTATCACTGAAATTTAACAGTGCTAACAATTAGTGTTTCTTTGGGTTGATTTTTGAAAGACCAATGATTTGTTGTAAAACAATTTAATTGTAATATTATGTGTTTATTTTAAATTAACTACAAATTGTATTTGTATTTGCAACATTTTCATAGTTTAATTGTATTGTATTGATTGTTTTAATTTTATGATTTTTTATTAAATAGCTTTTGTTTCTATATCAATATATCGGATGCTTTGATTTTGGCGTGAACATACCCCCGGTCTTGAAATATATGATCACATAATAAATTAGTAAAATCAAAATAAATTATGACAGTCAAGTAAGACATACTTAACTTAAATACGCATTATACAAAATCTTCAAAACATTGACATCATTCTTAGGTGAATTGGAATTT